TTTAAGAAATCGACAATGTCCGACAATTTATTTATTAACATTAATAATTAATTAATTATAACATTAAGAAATGGTCAATTTACCGGCCTGAATGTCCGAGAAAATTTCTCAGACATTCAGGCCGCTAAATGTTATTTAATACTGTATATAATAAACAGAGCATTTACTTAAATACTTGTATCTATAAAAAGAACGTTAAACATAAAAATGTCTTTAATAAATAAATTGTCGGACTTTGTCCATTTCTTAATATATGACGTCATTTGTTTACATTTGATACGCCATGAGCAGTTATGAATGTACGAGATTCATGGAAGATTGAAGTTTATAAGCAGTAAATAAATGTATATATATATATATAAATAATAAATGCATAACTTTTGATCAAGGTGAGCGAATCTGATTTTGCCCAATTTACCAAAATATTATAAGGTATTTTAACAGCGGGCAACATATCACTTGTAAAGAAATGGTGAAAGCAATACAGTATGCTAAGTAACGATAAAATCGTCAGAGCGTTAAAATTGTATCCTCCATATATATATATATATATATATATATATATATATATATATATATATATATATATATATATATATATATATATATATATATAAAATATATGTAAAATGTGTATGTATATAAATTCATACACGCATACATACACACACACACAAATATATTTGCAATTTTTATATATATTTTATATTATATATGCACGGTACTTATTGGAAAGCGCTCAATATCAGTGATAATTTTTTTCTGAGGATCGCTGAAAGCGTGAAACTCAGGGTCATAAACTCACATCAATCTAACTATATATATATATATATATATATATATATATATATATATATATATACACAGAGGGTGCGATGGCAAATTGACTCTATTTTATAGTTTCAATTTCGCGCATGCGCGTTGTTTTTAGTTTTCTCAGTTTCTCAGTTGACAAATATCTGAGAAAAAGAGGACCATGACTCAATTTACGCCGCCAGCAACTTGGCAACGGCTTGTTATACTCTTTGGCATTCGCGCCGTAAGCTCCAATACGAACAATGCAGGGAATTCGGAGAGTTGAATGCATGGTGTTTACGAATGTACCGCACCTCGGAAATTCATTCTGATCGTTCTGATAAGAAAAGACCTCCTGAATTTGTTGATGAAAGCCTCAGACTCAACACGGAGGTATACATCAAATGACTTGAGGATGTAGCGCTTCCCTGTGTAAAGAGTATGGCTGCTGGCAACAGGGCTCTGCACCATGACACACAAGCAGGAGTACACAGTCTTAGGCTGTCAGATAATTGCAGCACTGGTCATTTAGTGGACAGGATCCGTTTTTACGGCAGTTGCATTAATTTTTCATTGGATTTTTATTTAGTATTTTTTTCATGTGCCTGATTAATATATTATTGTTATGTTGGAATATATAATTATTGATGTTTTTGTCACAGCTGTAGCTGACATTAATGTTATTTCTGTTGATTTTATTTGTGCTGGACAATGTCCAAATTTTTGTGAATTAAATTTAGAATAAATTCTACCTAGAATTGTTTGGACGTTACTATTGTAAGCTAAGTTGAACCATATTGATATGTCCCGGAAAGGGATATATTTGAACGAAGTAGCTAAGCGGTTTTGGCTACTATAACCAAGTAGAATACTGTAACAGTAATCGACTGGTACGCATCGTAGTCGCAGGTAAGAAATGTAGATCAATGGCGTAGTCCAATGTGTTGCAGTTTTTTGTGTATATCTATCTACTAGTGAGCTAGCCCAAATGACTTGACTCACTTTATAGTCCACCAATAGAAGGTTAACCAATCAGAAGACGTAGAATATTCAATCTGTCGTGTATAAAGGCGGCCATTTTGTTTACTCTACCCGAATGTCCAGCGCCAGCTTTTCAGGCGAAGAGGAACAGAAGGAAGAACTACGCTCTGCTACTTTTACCAAAATATCCACAGCTAACCTGAACAACACGTTCCTACTGTCTTTCTTAATATTCACTGCTAACCTCTGGATTCTATACTCGAAGACGACCGTCATCATGAACAACACAATAGGCGTCGTTATAGACTTAGCTCTCAGACTAAGGCTCTCGACTCTCGTACACGTCCGTCGGTATTTATGACGGACACCAGTCAATCATATTCCAGTGATGAATAGCTATGTTCCGAAAATCAATCACTGGTGGAAAAAATATTTGTGGACAAGGGAAATTACAGTCCCGGAAAGGGATATATTTGAACGAAGTAGCTAAGTGGCTTTGACTACTATAATCAACTAGAATACCGTTGACGTCGCATAGCAATCTTCTATGTCACCATAACAGAATATAATCTTTGATGTTGAATATATTTGTTTAAATGGCTATATACCCACTCTGAAGATGACACACGTGAGCCGAAAGCTTAGATCAAGGAACAGCTTAATAAAATAATATCTAAATGTTGGACAATTTTTGTCCTTATTTTCACCTGAAATTAAAGCAAATATACCGAGTTTAGAACTGCTTTGATAGATATCGGAACAAGGTTTAGGAGAGATAGCAAAATGACAAAAATTATTAACTGCTAGAAGGACAGGAAATTGTAGAGAGCCATGACCATATACGTTCTGAAGGCACACGACACATAGATGAAGAGAACATCCTTAAGTACGTTTTAAGAGCATTCGTATGACAGTTATGTAATTAGTGTCAAAATCCTTCTCCAGCTTTAAATAATACAAAAAAATGAGGCTATTACTCTCAAGAGACGTGTTAATACGCTCCTCTCCTCTCTGGTGACAGGCGAACTTTCCCGTCTTATATTTTGTGTGTGGGGCTTGAAAAAGTCATTGAGGAATTCACTCCCGCATATGATTCGGGCCTTTCCATTGGACGACGATCAAATTTCGCGTCGGCTTGCGAAAAGGTCCGTAAAAGAATTTGTTTCTGAGAATTGAAGATTATTTGAATTTTGTTTTTAAATGTTTCCTGGTTTTTCTATTGACCGTAAAAACATTTCGCATCAAGGTGTGAAATTTCACGAGTTTTGTTTTGGATTCGCTTTTGTGTGTGTGTTAAGTAAAGTTTGTAAATTCGAGTCTTTTTAATTTTTAACAAAATCAATGAGTTAGCGCTTAGCATTTGGATTTTAAATCTAGATCTTGTTTTGCTCACTGCAACTATTCCCTCCGTTTTTACTTCCTGTAGATTATTTTACTTCCCACAACCGCTTTCTGAAATCGATGATAAAAAATGGCTTGGTGCGTGTAAAGCGTCTATGTCTACGCTAGGGCTACCCTTCTTCGAACCTTGTGGACTGACGCCACAAACAAAGAACTCTGTCAGATAATTACATTAATTGACGAAATTCATTGCAGCTTAGACCAGACTAAAGTTTCGTTGACAAGGTGCAGTTTCTTTTCGTTAACGCTTGTGACATAAAAATTCCCCTTCACTGAATCGCCACACACGGGTGAAGAACAAAACAATTTCTAGCAGTAAACCAGATTTTATTCTTAAGTTTTACTATAAGTGAGCGAAGTAGATACGAGCCGTAAGTAACAAGCGAGCTGTGCTCTTCAGCTCTTCTCCGTGACTTTCTGCGAGGCCCACTTCTTTCCTTCTGATTGCCTTTGCGCGGGGTGATCAGTTTTATAGACAACAATTTTCCTTGTCCTGTCATCTTCGTCTAATAAAGGAATTGATCTTCTTTCTGTCACTTTCTCTCAGTCTGAGCCTCTTGCTCTTGTTCTTTTGAAGATGACTCCAATTACTGATCGCCATCGGTCGAAAGTAAATGTTCTGTTCCGAGTTGTTTCAAATTTAACATGACCCCCAGCTTGACTCATATTACTACAACAGGAAGCAACAATTGAAATGTTTAGCACATGCAACTCGAAGATGAAATAAAGAAGGAGGTTACTATAAATACTGGATATTCACAATAACAGTTACTGGATTTGGGAAACATATTTTTTCTGAAAAAAATATTTTAGAAGAAAGATTTGATAAATTTCAACCGATTACAGTATGGATTACTCGTTCAATGAATACCAAATGTTTCCTTATAAGGAAACAGTTGAGTTTAACATTACCATTAGGAACGAGGAGAGAGGTACTTCGATGTGGCGTAACAGTTAGCAAAGTTGTATCGCTAAATCAATTACAACTGGATACTGAGTTCGATCCTCATTGAGTGTCTCACATTTTCGGCCTTGTGCTACATCTAAGCTAAGGTAAGCTAAGCAAAAATCATTTGTGGAATACATCAACGTAGGGTAATGGTTAGCAATCTTGTCTCGCTAAATCAATTGCAACTGAATAGTGTGTTCTAACCTCACTGCGTGCCTCACTTTTTCGGCCTTGTGCCAAATCTAATCTAAGGTATGCTAAACGAAAATCATTTGTGGGACGCATAAACGTAGTGTAATGGTTAGCAATCTTGTCTCGTTAGATGAGTTACGGCTGAAAAGTGCGTTCGATCCTCACTGGGTGCTCACAAACTTTCGACCCTGTGCCAAATCTGGGCTATGCTTAGAAAATTACCATAACTTTTTCACTTCGACGTGATGTAATGTTTAGTAAGCTTGTCTCGCTAGGTCAGTTACGACTGAATAATGAGTTCGATCCTCACTGGGTTTTCCTAACTTTCGGCCTTGTAACACATCTGAGCTACGTTTTGAAAATCATCATTAGGGACGAAGGGAACAGATATTACGCTTTCTAGATGATCAAGTGGGCAAGAAAGGCGTAAACAAAATAGCACTGGCGGCTCGGTCATTGAATATCTTATATTTCCTGGCTGCTCGGTCATAGAATATCTTGTTTATGGCTGCTCGGTCATAGAATATCTTGTGTTTCCTGGTTGCTCGGTCATTGAATATCTTGTGTTTCCTGACTGCTTGGTCAATGAATATCGCGTTTCCTGGCTGCTCGGGCATTGAATATCTTGTGTTTCCTGGTTGCTTGGTCATTCAATATCTTGTGTTTCCTGGCTGCTAGGTCGATGAATATCTTGTTTCCTGACTGCTCGGTCATAGAATATCTTGTGTTTCCTGGTTACTCGGTCAACGAATATCATGTTTCCTGGTTGCTTGGTTAATGAATATCGTGTTTCCTGGCTGCTCGGGCATTGAATATCTTGTTTCCTGGCTGCTCGATCATAGAATATCTTGTGTTTCCTGGTTGCTCGGTCATTCACTATCTTGTGTTTCCTGGCTGCTTGGTCAATGAATATCGTGTTTCCTGGCTGCTCGGGCATTGAATATCTTGTGTTTCCTAATAAAGAAACAGCTAATATTACCTTTATCACTACAGATGAGAAAAACAGATACTACCCCTTGATCCCAACCGGATGATCAGGTACTGAAGAAAAGCGTTTCTCGCGTAGCACTGGCTGCTCGGTCAATTAATGCTGAATGTTTCCTGTTAAGGAAACAGTTAATATTACCATTACTACGAAAGACGAGAAGCACAGATAAAACACTTAGTATTTACTCATGTTCCTATGGTGAAGGAATATGGCACAAGGGTGAGACAATATACGTACACACGGGTCAAATCTTCGAATTGCCCAGACCTCACAACAAACATCGCGCTAGCGTCGATATTCAACAAAGCCTTTTGGAGCAATGAGGGATGTATTACTACAGGATTGAAATCACGGGAGTCAGGCATCCCTCATTTATTTGCTATGCTCCGTCAGTAGATATTTACTCAAAACCCCGACGAGGTCAGGTTGTGACTCAAGTTCAGTTTAATGTGGGGATCCCGAGCGTGTACACCCGGGCAAGGAACAAAAATTCCCCGAGCCCACGCAACCGATTCTTCTGTCTAATGCGATGAGAAGGCGCGGCCTCGGACAGCTGTTCCCCAGGGCCAGGCACCTGTCAGTATAATTTTCCTCAGTTGAGACTCTGTCCTTTGACGGAGCCGCCCCTGAACGAACTCTGTCCAAGGACAGAGACGTAACTGGGAGATGATAAGTAGACGTGAAATTACTCAAAAATAGTAAGTTAAAATGTAGTTGGTCCACTTTGATGCCAATCGGATGACCAGCGAATGAAGGGAAGCGTAATTCGAGTAGCACTGGCTGCTTAGTCAGTGAATTTTGAATGTTTCCTCATAAATAGATGACCAATATTAGTATTACCATTTGAGATGGGGAGAACAGATACTACACTTTGATCCTAGCCCAATGGTGAGGGAGTGAAGAAAAGCGCCACTCTAGTAGCACTGGCTGCTCGGTCAATGAATGCCAATTGTTTCCTTATAAGGAAACGGCTAATATTACCATTACTATTAGAGATGAGGAGAACAGATACTACACTTTGATCGGAACCTAATGTCGAAATGAAGAAAACAATAACTCGAGTATCATTTTGAATGTTTCCTAATAGGAAAATCTTTCTTTCTTTCGTTCTAAATTTACTTTCATGCTTCTGGCCATATTTCTTTCTTTCTTTTCATTAATCTTCCTTATATTTTTCTTTCTTTCTTTTCATTAATCTTCCTTATATTTTTCTTTCTTTCTTTTCATTAATCTTCCTTATATTTTTCTTTCTTTCTTTTCATTAATCTTCCTTATATTTTTCTTTCTTTCTTTTCATTAATCTTCCTTATATTTTTTTTTTTCTTTTTCATTAATCTTCCTTATATTTTTCTTTCTTTTCTTTTCATTAATCTTCCTTATATTTTTCTTTCTTTCTTTTCATTAATCTTCCTTATATTTTTCTTTCTTTCTTTTCATTAATCTTCCTTATATTTTTCTTTGCTTTTCTTTCCATTCCATCCAGAATCCTTTTTTTCTTTCTTTGTTTTTTTTTTCTTATAAAAATTTCTATTTTTCCATCTTTTTTCATCTTTCTTCCTGTGTATCATTTTTCATTTTTTCTTTATTCCATTTTTCTTTTTTTTTCATTTCTACTTTCCATCTTTCATTTCAATTTTCCATCTTTCCTTCTTTATATCTTTATTTATTTTTTCAGCTTATTTTTGCATCTTTTGTTCTTTTTCTTTCTTTTTCAATCTAAATTTACTTTTACACTTCTTTCTTTCTTTTTCAAAATTTCCATTTTCATTTTTCTCTTTCCCTTGTTTCCAGCATGAAATTTTCTTTTGTTCCTTTTTCAAACTTTCATTTTTTTTATTGTTTGTTTGTTTGGTTGATGGTTTCGTTGGTTCGTTGCTTCTTTCTTTCTTTCTTAAATTTATTTATTTCCTTCTAAATTTACTTACATACTTCTTCACATATTTCCCTCTTTCCATTTTTCTTTTCAAATTTCCTTTTTATTTCTTTACACCTTCGTTAACTCTTTTCAACTTACAATGTTACCTCTTTCTTTCTTTCTTTTTTCTTTCTTTCTTTCTTTCTTTTTCTTGTAAATTTCTATTATTTCATATTTCTTTTTTTCTATTCTTTTTTCCATTTTTCATTCATTCATTTTTTTTTCTTTCTTTCCATCTTTCTTTTCAACTTTTCATTTTATTTTTTTACATCTTCGTTAATTCTTTTAACTTACGATTTTCTTTCTTTCTTTCTTTTTTCTTTCTCTCTTTCTTTCTTTTTTCTTTCTTTCTAAATTAACTTACATACTCCTTCCCATATGTATTTCTTTTCATTTTCATTCTTTCCACTATTGTTTGTCAGTTCTTTCTTTCTTTCTTTCTTTCTTTCTTTCTTTATTGCATTTCAGAAAATTTTTTTTTTTTCAATTTTCTTGTTTTCTATTCTTCACACATTTTTTGTTAATTCATTTTTTCCTTTCTTTCCATCTTTCCTTTCAACTTACCATTTTATTTCTTTACATCTTCGTTAATTCTTTTCAACTTACAATTTTCTTTCTTTCTTTCTTTCTTTCTTTCTTTCAAACTTTCCATTTTTTTCTAGCATCTTTCTATATTTCTTCTTTTCATCTTTCCATCTTTCCGTCTTTTCTTTTCTCATCTGCTCCAGATTTTTATCTTTGTATCCTTTCCATTTAGGATTGCCTTTACAAAGTGACTTTTCCTTTTTTTTTTTCTCTCTTTTTATTTTTCCTTTTTTATTTTTCAAATGAGTATTCTTCGAAGTCGGACGATGAAAGACAAAAGGAATCGAGAAAAGACCCTACTTCAGATGAGAAATGTCTTTAAGTAGAGCCATATCTCTTTAGATCATGATGCAGCGAACGGGGTGAATGCCAAACTAAGGGCTTTCAAGAATTCTGCGCAATAGCTCTGCTTATCTGAAGGTTGCCAAGTAGTTGCAATGGAACCAGGTAAAGAACAGATTTGAAAGACAAAAGCTTCTCATGCTATGTATGGAGAGTCCCTAAGTGGACTGCGGATGAGTGTAGGTTGGGTAAGGGAATTTGTTTTGAAGAATATGTGAAGGACCTGATGATAGGGGAACCGCGAATGATATCGTCGGTGAATGGTCAAACGCACGAAAGAAAGACAACGTTTTTAAATGTCTTCATTTAGGAATGATTATATTATTAGAAAGGAGTTTTAGAAGCGCACGAATACAAATTGTGTGGGCTCGGGTTGTTTGAAGAAAATCCGTTGCTTCTCCTGATGAAGTCGGTTGAGCGCACATGATTGAAAAGTCTTTTTTTTGTCGAAACAATGTCAAAATTAAAAAAAAAAAGGCAACCATTATCGTTATTTATTTGTTGGACTTGTATAATAGAAATTTCAGCCAGAATTTTTTTTTCTAAATTGTTTTTTCCTGGTATTATTAAAGAACGAGATAAAAAATATATATATATATATATATATATATATATATATATATATATATATATATATATAAGAAGTTTTATAAAAATTAATAAGGAAACCTGTTTGCTATATCTGTTCATTGCAAAATAATCAACCTACGGAAGCCAAAACAAAATATACTTTTGATATGCGATTTCTTCATTTAAAAAAAAAAATGTTGAAATTTATAATCTGGTTTGCTTTTGTTCATATTTTGCTAACGATTAGGCTCGCCAGGTTACGAATTTAAAAAGTGTTATATCGTGCATAATACGATACAAGCAATTAGATAATCCCGAATGGAAAGATTATGCTAAACACAGGAATTAGGTAAAACAAATAACATGGGTTTTATTGTACTGAAAATACAATGAGTAAGAGTTCTTAATAATAATAATAAAACGGAAGATAACGTCACGGAAGTTCGTACTGCGACTGCGTACTACAATACTTCTTTATTTTCCTCCTCATTCACGTCTCTTTAGACTGACCAATCACTGTCGAGGTGTGATAGGTTGTTCCACTATAAAACTTTCTTTCTTTTAACAAATTCATGGTTAATATTTTTATTTCTTTATTTTTTTTAGTTAAATCATTTCTCTCTTTGTCTTCTTTCATTTTATTCATTCTCTCCTTCCTCCCTTCCTTCCTTTCGCTTATTTCTCCTTCTCAGCTAATATTCTTCTATAATTATTTCTTTTTCCTTTCTTTCTCCTTCAGTTTTCCTTTCCCGTTATTTAATCTTCCTTTATCCACAACCTTATTTATTTATTTAGACAGAACGCTCGCATCAGAATCTACTTTAGAAATATCCTTCATCATTTACTCTTCCAGTCCTTGACCCTGCAAGCCGTCTTTCTTTCTTGCTCTTTTCTTTCTTTCTTTCTTTCTTTCTTTCTTTCTTTCTTTCTTTCTTTGCCTTCTTTTAAAGCATTCCAGGTTAATATTCTTTCTTTCCTACATTCTTTTTTTTAACTCATTCACGCTTATATTGTTTGTTTTTATTTGTTCGATGAATAATATATTTCATCCTTCCTTTCTTTTTCTTATATCTCCTTCCTAGATAATATCATTTTTTATTCTTTCTTTTTCTTCTTTCTTTCTTGCTCTCTTTCTTTCTTTCTTTCTTTCTTTCTTTCTTTCTTTCTTTCTTTCTTTCTTTTTTCTTTCTTTCTTTCTTTCTTTCTTTCTTTCTTTCTTTCTTTTATATCATGGATAATACTATATAAGCAACAAGGTAATTCCGAGTGGAAAGATTACGCTAAACACAGGAATTAGGTAAAACAAATAACATGGATTTTATTGTACGGAAACTACAATGAATAAGAGTTCTTAATAATAATAATAATAATAATAATAATAATAATAATGAAAACGGGAGACAACGTCACGGATATCAGTAGTAGTACTACTACTACAATACTGCGTCACGTCCTTTATTTTCTCCTCATTCACATCTCTTTAGACTGACCAATCACTGTCGGGGTGTGATAGGTTGTTCCACTATAACAAAAAGTTATCTATTATTTTTATTATTTTTATTTTTTCACTTTCTGTTGTCTGAGCATAATTCTTGTTTCATGGATATTGGTTCGGAATGAAAAATTCCAGTCGGGTTTGTTGCATTCATTTACGCGCAAATACCCTTGGCAAATGTATGAACCTATCTTCTGTCTCCTGCTTGCAGATTCAATATCAGGACAGACTGGGCCCTATAATCTTAGTTGGTAACCAGGCTACCGCAGGAAAATAAGCGCAAACTCCGGCGGGAAAATCTTCTGCCTAGTCAATCATTAATCGAAAAAGACATAATCGCCCAAGCGTCTATCGTGTATGGTAATTAACTGACTGATCTGGATGAAAGAATTGAATATCAGTGGGTCCTATAGCCAGGGTTGGTAACCGGTCTACGGCAGAAAGAAACGGCAACCTACTGCAGGGAAAATTTGCCTAGTCAATCACGAATCGAATGAGACATAATCGTCCGTGCATGTTGCGCGTATGACAATTAAACTGACTAATCTTGATAAAAGGATTGAATATCAGGACAGACTGGGTCCTATAGCCTTGGTTGTCAACCAGTCTCCCACAGAAAGAAACGGCAGCCTACTGCAGGAACATCTTCTGTGTAAATTTCTCTGATGAGGACTTATAATTATTAACACTATTTACATTTGGACTATTGGCCGAGGGTATTAAAGCGTTGGTTTGTAAATTTTTTGACATAGGGATTGAAAGTTCAATTCTTTGTGTCGGTTCAATCATGGTGTACTTGGACTCAGTGGGAACGGGCGAGAAATAACGGATTACGACTAAAAATAAGAACTAGACGAGATATCGCGAGACATGGGCAGCGGAATGAAAACAGTCTTTAGATCCCCATTAAACATTGTAGAAAAATCAATAGATTTAAGTAGTATAAATAAAATCTCAATTCTCTGTAAAAGTAGAACCACAGAGACATCACTTCAATTTTATACAAAAAATAGGCTCACACGCACATCAAATTCAAATTCCCATATTAGCATTTATCAACCAATCAGAAACGCCATTCAAGCCTTGAAAAAGAAGACAACCATTCTTGCCGTTTGCAAGAAAAATTAAAGGCTCACTGTCAAAAAATGAATAGCAGTCTTTTCCCGCCTAAAAATCAAAATGAAAATTTTGAGAATGCATTTATTAAACAATAAAACTAACTTTTAACTTCCTGGGATCCGATTTTTCTTACAAAGAGCGTAACGTAAATTAATAACCGTTCGTCTTGCAGTATATCTTCGACTTGAGAATGTAAATAATAGTGAATATTCAAATTTTTGCAAACTCAAATTGACTTATTGAGTACTAAGTACCTTCCTGCAAATTATTTCTCGTTTTTAAAGCATTTTCACAAACCAGATTGTGTGTTTAAATTATGAAAAAAAATACCCAAACGAGACATGTACAAAGCGCATTTGTAGACACTATAATACAGATATTATCGCCTGATGATGAAATTTCAATATGAACATACATAACATAATGTAAATCGTGGATTTCGCATGACTTCAGACGTATCTTTCACCCTATACTACACAATTGCGTTGTAAAAAGAAAACAAAACATTTTCCGTGTGAACTTTGTTTGCGACAGACTTTATAACTTGTTTCTTTCAACTTAAAAGAAAACAAAGATCATTTTTAAACTCAGTAATAAAATCATTTAAATTTGTAGAGCTGTGTTTGAAGATTAATTCTTTTCTTCGCTTTTCACGCATTTTCTCCTCTATAAGTCTACCCGCTTACATTAAATAAAGGGTTAAATTCATAATTATGCAGACTGATATAAACCTTAGGAAGGTCGGAGGGCAAAACGGCCGAAACATTAAGATCACAACAACAACGATGAGGAGAATAGTTGGAATATAAATAGTGTTAATAATTATTTCGGTAGCGGTTATATATATATATATATATATATATATATATATATATATATATAGAGAGAGAGAGAGAGAGAGAGAGAGAGAGAGCCCAGTAAAGAAACGGCAAATTTATTATCACTGTTTTATCTTTTAGGAATAATTGACCTTGAATAACCTTGAATAAATTCATTGAATATCCATGACCTTGAGTAATCATTCGACTCTCGCGTAATTACTTAACTCTAATTATTTTGTTCGGATTGAGTAATTGCTACTCGATCTTGTGACTCGTCATTTAAAGGTTATTTCCAGACAACTTTCGTCTTTCTTTCTGTCCTTTTCGTATGGCTAAACATTTCACTGATTTTGAGCGTCAAGTTATCGTACTTTACAAAAAAGAACATCCGACACGGGGATTAACGAAATGTGCATAAATTATTCCT